ACTGGGGATCTCTCCACCCGATCCGCCTCTCAGCTCAGAATGCGCGTGTAAGTGCGCGAGGGGGGACCCACAGATCAATATTCGCACCGGGGCCCCATGGATCTTGTGTACGCCACTGCATAAGGACATATGTTTTGTTATACTTGTCCTCAAAATGTTTTTTGTAAGCATTTTTCAAACACATGCTGTACCTTTCCTGGTAATTCCATAGCCTTGACGTGTGCAAATAATGATCATTCAGAGCTGACCACACACACCCCAGCTATGAGAACCGTATATATACTTGTGGGGTTAGCCCTTATTTTAATAGAATAAAGGGATCAACTATATGGTAAATGTATTAGTCTTAAAATACAGGGTGGCAGAATGCTGTGATGTTTGACCTTTGACTCGACATCTTCTACCAACCAACATTTCAAGAAGCGTAGATTTTAAACTAAAGATTTTTTTAAAACATTATGAACCCTAATTTTCTTTTAACATGCACTGGTTATTAAACAATAATCTGAACCCACAGCTACAGTTTCCATTTTTCTAAGCCTGAAATAAGTCTAACAGGATATTTTGAAGAATAAATGACCCAAGCAAAAAAACATCTGAATGATACTGATGATAATGATTAAGAGGGTGTCACCTCAGAGATGTGAAAGGCGCTAAGGGACAATAGAACATGTGAATGTCCTTTGCCTCTTACTATAAAATAGTTAGCAGTATTTCTACAATTTTTTTAATTGACAAATTGGAGAATATTGATAATGAAATGAGCATTCCCAGATCTGCTCACTTCAGAAATCACCATTAAATAATGTCCCGCCAACATCCCTGGAATTAACTAAAATCTGCAATTTTTCCCAGGCCTTGACACTTTGTAAATTATAAATGTGTTATGGATTGCAATCTACATAATGTATGCAATTTAATTTCCATACATACATGAATTACATTAGCAAAATGAACTGCTGGGAATAGACATAATTAGAAGCAAGAAAAGTCGAGAAGTCAGCTTTTACAGTAAAAGCCACTAAAATACCTACTATTAACCCAAAATGTGACTTAGCTGCTCTGTACTTTCTGAAAGAAATGTGACTGGGGATAATAAATTGTGCTAAAAAAACTGAAATATCAAGCAAGCTGTCGAGTCCCATATTTATTCCCATATTCCTGGCCATACTTTTTACCCAACACATTTTCCCCATTTTTTCATATCTCCGTCACAATAACTTTTAAATTTCCTTATCTGTTTTATAGCTACTCCTTCCCCATCACTTATTTCTTACAGCTGTTGTTTTATCCCACTGATTCTTTGATTCATCATCTTCTGACTCATTCTCTCTCCTACTATATCCTGTGATTTAGCCCATCCCAATAGTTTTTCTATCCAAACATGTAAATTCACCATTTTAGTTAAGTCTTCCTACTCCAACGTAATTTGCATCATCTTCCCACTTGTGTTCTTCCCACCTTGTCTTTATCTTCTTTCGTCAATATTCATTTGTGTCTATTTGTTTTTTTTTTTACTTTTCATCCCATCCTTGTTTATTTTTTTTCTTTCTTTGCACAATGTCCTCTGGTTGAATGAGTCTTCAGCTCACCTTCACTTTCTTTAAAGAAGAATGATCACATCCTAGTTTTTACAATATCATGTTTGTTTATCTCTATATTTATTAAATATGTATTTGTGACGTGTAAAAAAAAAAAAATTAAAACTAAATGTAGAAATACGCAACTCTTTATCCTGCAACTGGACAACTCCGTGATTGACTGCCTGTCAATCATTGTTAAAAGCTCTGTCTTTTGTTGATGACAATCAGCATAACGAAAGCATACACAGAAGAAGATTAATGAAATTCTCTTCACCTGCAATGTTTGTCTTTGCTTTGTCATGTCTGAACCGGTTTATGATGTAATTTGCTAAGTCTTTGACATGATTTTAAAAGAAAACAAAGCATTTCATAAAATGAAAAGAAAAGAATAAATGCTAACACAAGGTATATGTGATACGTGTAGGCGATATTCTGTGTTTTACTCGGTGGTGTGAATTACAGAGAAGTGACAGGTCCCTCTTTTACATCTCTTCTCATTCATGTCCTCTCTTTCATCCTAAGTGTGCTTAATCCAAGAGCTCTCTATTTCACATTTACCCGTTTCAACAAATGCTTTCTTCCTACTATCTTTTGCTTCCCAGTTATATCAGACGTGTAATTTACATAATACTATACAAATAAATGCACAAATAGAGGAGAGTCCTGAATAATTCAAGTATCACTCAGTATATATTTTATTCCGTATACATATTGTTTTCTTTAATAATAACTAATAAAGAGTTTTTAAAAAAAAAACAATTTTACAGTTGGGCTTTTCACTTATACTTTTATGCATTTATTGTGTCTCGGTGTAGATATTCTTCACATCTAAACAATATGAAAATATATCAGTAGTTGTCTTGGGTAAAAATGGGTTTGTAAAATAATAATTGCATTGGATGTCTGAGAATTGTAAACGGAATTTGGTTGTAAAACCTGCGTTATATTTAGTATGATTTAACTAGCATCTAATGTGATACGTCAGTGTTGAAACCAGCAAACAGATGTTGCTAATGGACAATCTGTTCTTTGATTAATTACTTTTCTTCTAAATAAATAAAGCATTTCTCTATTGCGCCAGCAGTTGGGAATAATATTAATGATACACCTTCTAAAGTCAATTTTATATAATCAGTCATTCAGATCAGGATACAAAATATACTGGGCAAGAATATTATAATAGACAAGTCAAACAACTGTTAAGAGGTCACATTAAACAAAAAGTAAAGCAGTGCTTAATTGATAACTCATCCTGAAGAGGGATATATTGCTTCAAATGAGGCATTGGACCTTTAAATACTCAAAGTCCTTATCTCATTGTTTTCGACCTCCCTTGCTCAGAAATGGCTTGGCATAATGAACAGACTGCAATCAGAGACATCTTGAATTATTACTCCTTCAATAAGCTAGAGGAGGGGTAGGCAGCCTTCAGCACTCCAGGTGTGGTGGACTTCATCTCTAATTCTGGCAAGGAATCAGGGCAGATGTAGTCCACAACATTTGGAGTGCCGAAGGTTGCCTACCCCTGGGGTAGAGTGTAACTATATATGCCACAATTGGAACGTTTAAGCTTCTGTCTTTAGCTCTATATTTCTAAACGTGCAAATTTAAACAGATTCTCAAATTTCACATTGTAATTAGTTTTTTTTCCCCAATATAGATTCTGTACAGAAAGAAAAAATATATTTATCGCTAAAGTAAGAATTGCAGGAAATTCAAAGTGAATTCAACATGAATTTCAAATTTGAAGCCAAAATAGCCAATTCGAAAATAGAATTGACTTGGAGAACGCTTTTAGTTCAGCTCGTTGGTGAACTCAATTTTTAAATTCTCTTTGAATTCTCACTTTATTAAATAACACTGTATGTGTAATTGTTATATAAAAGTTGTGCCTAGTTGAATGAGAAAGGCCTCGGTCATATAATTTAATTATGGAATAAAGGAGATGGTGTAAAGTGCTATGGAATTTGTTGGCGCTATATAAATGCCTATGATAATATTATTTTGATACATGTGTTCGCGCAACTCTATTATATTACATTTAACTGTACTTTACTTTATTTATTTCTACATTGTATTGGACTCTCATTTATTTATATTTATCACATTCTTTGGTGTGCTTTGTGATTCTCTTTCATTGTTAATTTTCTATTGATTGTGACTGATGTTATCATTCAGAATGATGCACGTTCCCCACAATAACTATTGTTACTAAATCCTATTGATTCCTGTAATCACTATGAATGTAATATGTTGAAGCAAAAGTTGCTAACAACACAAGAAGCCAAGCCCATACTCAAATGTTAGGGATTACATATTAACACCATGTGCTGCCTGGGTCCAAGAACAAGGTGCCGCCAACCTAACTATTCACCAAAATCCAACCCTCTGTAGAACATTAAAGGAACACTATAGGGTCAGGAAAACAAACATGTATTCCTGAACCTATGGTGCAAAACCCACCATTTAGGTTGCTTTCCACCCCTTAAAAGTTAATGAAACTCACCTTATTTCCAGCGCCGCGCGGGTCCGCTGGCACTGACCCCGCCCCCTTGGTCACATAATCAGAATTGTCATGGGGAAAGTATTGGCTTGGCTACAATCGGCAGGGTCAAATGGCATTTTGGCCAATCAGCACCACCTCATAGAGATGCATCTCTATGAGGAAAATTCAGCATCCCCATGCAGAGCGTGGAGACACTGAATGGCACTGCTGCCTACTGTGCAGCTCTGAGCCAGGAAGCACCTCCCGTGGCCATCTGAGGAGTGGCCACTTGGAGGTATATCTAGGGGCAATGTAAACACTGCCTTTTCAAAGAAAAGTGTTTGCATGAAAATGCCTGTAAATAATGATTATACTCACCTGAACAACTACATTAAGCTGTAGTTGTTCTGGTGACTATAGTGTCCCTTTAATCTCACTTCATTGCTTCTAATTATAATTCCCCACACCTCATATCCCCCCCACTTAATATAAACAGGTGTGTGCCTTTTTCAAATCATGTCCAAATCATGTTAAAATCAACAGAATTTTCCCTCTTCCAAACCGATTTCTTTTCTCTACCACGCAATCAAACATACACTCTACACAGCAAAACCCCATTTCACCCAGGCCTGGACACGGAATTGCAATATACGGTTAGAGGACTCCCAATGGGCTAGCATATTTAGGGCAAACAGAAACCTGACATTATGTTCCACGCACATAGAAATGTCCAGGAAGCTGTTATATCGCTGGCACATCACTCCGGTTGAATTGAAACATATCAATCCGGCAACCTATGGGAATTGCTGGAGGTGTAATGATTACCCTGGAACTAGCTTCCACATTTGGTGGACATGTCCAAAAATAATGCCAGTCTGGACACAAATATCACAGCTCATAACATGTACAACTGAGTTATGCTTACCTGCTAGACCTGTTCAATTTCTGCTACAATTGTTACCCCAAAACGCGACCAAACCAGTCAAATTTTTGACATACCATATCCTAATAGCAGCCCTGCGGACAATTGGAAAAAACTGGTTATCTCCCCACACCTCAGCTACAGACATGTGTCCAATACATAGAGACATCCACAAATATGAATACATGGCCAGGAAGGCTGAAACAAACCAGAAATTTTGGATTGAAGCATGGGACTTGTGGGATCAATGTATTGAAAGGAAACCCCGACTACTTCAGGACTCTGAGGAGGTGCAGTAATACGGAACGTTTGAGCGAAGCCTGCCTCGACAAAAGTTCCCCCCCCCCGTTCTCGTTTTCCCCCCTCTCCCTCTTACCTACCCTATGCTATAAATGAGCACAGGGCCTCATGCCACTCTGAGTTACCGAGTTCATGAAGCACTACATAGAAAATTGTATGTTAAACTGTTGCACAGCATTTTGTTATGTGGTGTTCAGAAAAAATGGGCTGAAGCTGTGTGTCTCTTGAAAAATTGCAAATAAAAAATAAATAAAAAAATCAACAGAATTTTCAAAAGGTGGACTCCAATCAAAGTGTAGAAACATCTCAACGATGATCCGAAGAAAAGGGATGCATCTGAGCTATATCTCAAGTATTATAGCAAACGATCTGAATACTCATGCCCAGCGATGGCTCTAGACTTTGCGAGGCCTTAGGCGAAACTCAAGCAAGAGGCCCCCACTAACAACCATAGTAAAAAAAATAAAAAAATTGTTAAATAATAAGTTACAGATAACAAAACAGTCTAAATGTTCCCCACTTATTCTATTATCCCTTAGAATATATATTATTCTATATAGTATTGCCCCTTGTATTACGTAAGTGTGTATATATTTCTGAGTGTGTCTGGCATTGTCTACCTGCGTCTGAGAGTGGGTGTCTGACCGTAAGTAACCTTGTGTGTAAATGTATGTCTCTGTAAGCATGTCAGGGGGTGACTATGGTGTGGAGGTGGTGTGACGGTGGTGTGGAAAAGGGTTAACTGGTGTGGAGGAGGGGGTGACTGTGGTGTGGAGGAGAGGTGACTGGTGTGGAGGAGGGGGTGACTGGTGTGGAGGAGGGGGATGACTGGTGTGGAGGAGGGGATGACAGTGGTATGGAGGGAGGGTGACAGTGGTTTGGAGGGATGGTGACAGTGGTGTGGAGGATGGGGGGTGACTGGGTTGTGGAGGGGTAGTGACTGTGGTGGTGGAGGATTGTGATGTGGAGGAGGATTAGCTGGTGTGGAGGAGTGGGGTTATAGTGGTGTGGAGGAGGGGGGTGACAGTGGTGTGGAGGAGGGGTGACTGGTGTGGAGTAGGGTGTGACTGTGGTGTGGAGTAGGGGGTGATGGGGTGGAGGAGGGGGTGACAGTGTGGAGTAGGGGATGACTGGGGTGGAGGAGGTGGTGACAGTGTTGTGGAGGGGGCTCACTGGTGTGGAGGAGGTTGACTGGTGTGGAGGGGGGTGACTGGTATGGAGGAGGATGGTGACAGTGGTATGGGGGATGACTATGGTGTGTAGGGGGTGACTATGGTGTGGAGGGGGTGACTATGGTGGGAGGGGGTGACTGTGGTGTGCAGGGGGTGACTGTGGTGTGGAGGGGTTACTGGTGTGGAGGAGGTGGTTACAGTGGTGTGGAGGGGGTGATTGGTGTGGAGGAGGGGGGTGACAGTGTAATGGGTGACTGTGGTGTGGAGGTGGAGGGTGACTGGTGTGGAGGAGGAGGGTGACAGTGGTATGGAGGTAGGGTGACTGTGGGGGGTGACAGTGGCAAGGAGGGAGGGTGATTATGGTGTGGATGGGGGGGTGACACCTTCAAATGCCTTTTTAGGGGGGTTGATGGCTCCCTGGTGGTCTGTGGGAGCTCTCCCTGGTGGTCAGGTGGGCTGTCTCTCCGGTCTGCAGCTCCACCAAGTGCAGAGCTGCAAACCATGTGTTAAGTGTCTCACAAGCTCCAGTCAGAGTGTTGCCGTGGTAACCCACGGCTCCGCTCTGATTGGCTGAGACCATTGCACCCGGCAGAGCTGCATAGTGGAGGCTGGCTCTCTGCCATGGGCAGACTGCGCAGAGGGGGCCCCGTACCTGATGGCATACAGGGCCCCTCCTAGTGTCGAGTTCTCAATCATGGACCGAGGAACTGACACATTAGTCTGCCCCAACGCGATTTAGGAGGCTGCAAGGCCTTAGGCTACCGCCTAAATCGCTTAATTAGAGAGCTGCCTCTGCTCATGCCAATGTTATATTTGTCTTTTCTTTTTGTTTCATAAATCTGCTTTGTTTCATAAGTATTCAAAAATCAGTTTTTTGCTTTGTGAAATAATAGAAACAATTTTAACTTATGGCAGCAACAAAAAAGATAGATACATAGATAGATAGATTTTCCTGTCAGTATTGCTAGAATGGATTTGGTGTGTTAGCAATATGGCTATTTTTGCCCGTGCTGTGACTATATGCAGTAGGTGGGATTTATGTATTAAATAAATATACTTTGTCATTACCTATGTAACATGCTGCACTGAAAAGCCATTCTGTAGCTATTTATAGGCAATGCTACCTGCAGCTTACGTTGTAACTTAGGTGGAATAACAGCAGTCAAACTTTATTACAAGCATTTGTCCTAGATTCAATAAAAAAGGTTGTTAAACTGACAATCTCATTTAGTATTTACCATTCAGATAAGGGGGGTTTATTTGTTAAATAAGTGATGCATTAGATAGTGGATCGTGCTGAACTGACAATTTATTAAATTCAGTCCAAAATATTCAAGATGGGTAAACTCTAAAATGGAGTATTGTATAAAATCACCTGTTTGGCCTATTTTCTCATGACATATGCACAGACGTTATTCGGCATGTGCAAACTACACTTAAATAATACACGGACACCGTTTATTCTGTTGGAGTATAACGTCCACAGCTTTATTAATTATTAAAATATTAAAATTAACAATTTAGGGTCATTGTCAACAGTAATACTTTGTTCCGCTCCGTCCCCCAAAATACCCCTGACAATGACCCTACCAAAGAACAATACGTACATTATAAATAACACATAACGAATAACACCCGGCCTACCAAAGAGGTCCCACAACATGTTTCTACCTGCAGGGGTGTACCCAGACACCCCTATACTCCTTGGTTCGTAGCCCCCGACGGGCTCAAACATACCAAACACTTTAACTCCGGCCTACTCCAGCCTAGACATTGGCCTAAAACTTTCCTAACCCACAAAATTCCTGTTTAACCAAGCCCTTTCATGCACGACCCCCACCACACATAAACAGGGCTTGAGCAATACCATCCTGTAAACCTAAATTAAACAAATCACATCCCACGTCAGATAGGTGCACACCGTCCGGTCTGAAGTAAACTGGGAACCTCTCCTCCAATTCCCGGTGACGAACTACTAGCCCCCCCATCCTACGAATGAAGCTAGCCATGGTCTTATTGACCTTACCCCGGCATCGGGCAACCGCAGCCGTGTCCCTGGCGTGCCGCCACTAGCACCAAGGCACCATCTCAGACCACACCACTGTCACGCCAGGAACCAACCGACTCAGCCAATCCACATCCCTCTTCATTCGTCTTAACAAAGCACGTAACGGCACCAACCCCAGGTCGTTACCCCCTGCCGTGTACTACTACCACATCAGGCACGGCCCCCTCTGCTACCTTGTGAAATAATGCCATACTGATGTGCTGCCAATCAAAACCCTGATAACCAAACCAAGATATCGCCACCTGCTCCAAAGGAAAGCCCAGCTGTGTTCCGTTCCTTCTAACTGCAGCCCTCTTCTGAGCCCAATAAATGTACGAATGTCCAATTATCCATGCCGTCCAACCTGGAAGAGACAAAACAGAGATAAGCAGCGCACTCCCCCAGAACCCTTGTTCCCCACCTCCTTGGGTTCACACCAACTTGTCCGGGCGCACGTATGTGCGGAACCGTAACGATTCCCAATGACCAATATGCTTGATCCTCTCTTCCCCTAAACCCAGGCGCGCAGCCTCCGTGGCCGTCCCAATGCGGAATGAGTGTGTTCCAAATTGTAATGGCTCCAGGCCCATCTTTTGTAACCCCAACCGAAATACCCTTGTAAACTGGAAGCGCGACAACGCTGTACCATCCGCGTGAATAAAGAAACATCCTTCGACCTCCGGTCTTGGCCCCAAAAACCTGGCCCCACAAGCCACTGGGCACAATCCAGACCCTGGCAATTCGAACAGAGTAACCGTACAACCCTTCCCAAAGACATCCGTCTTCGAACGGGCCAGCTGTATCCGTAACCTGTTCGCACTAACCGCACTATGTCTTCGAATCTCAGTCCACCAACGCCCGCTTTGTTGGAGCTAACCAATTCCCCTATCCGAAACGCCCCAAAAAAGGCCCACACGAACGCCGTTGTGAACAATGCCACCTCAAATACGGAAAAACATATACCAGGTAATTTCTCCACCAGACCTTGCAGTACCTTAAACGAAACCGGTCTCCTCGAGTCTCGAGCCTTCTTACCTTTCCTATAACCCCGCACCGCTTGCCTCACCATGAAATGTTTTGTAACGTCTACCCAGCCGTTGAACTTGAAGAGGAGCGCCAGTGCTGCGAGATGCTTATCTACCATCGATGGTGATGCGTGCTCAGCGAACAAGCGGCACAGAATCCATAACAGCACATCCAGCCGATTGGGTGCTGAGCCCTCCGTGCCCAACTGTTGCACTGTCGTATCCCAGACCTTCCAAACCTTGATATACGATGACCACGTGCCCGGAGCCAGCAAATTTTTTATGTACTCTCCAAGCAGGACGTCCCGAGCTGCCACATCTCCTCCGGACATGCTTTCCCCGTTTCCCTCGCCTCCGGTGCCGCTTCCCGAAAACGGTCCCACTGAAAACGAGACAGCGCATCAGCCACTACATTCGCCCCGGAATATGCTTAGCCCTGAACACAATATTAAATGTCATGCATAATAGAACCAAATGTCTCAGTAACCGAACCACCGGCAGAGATGATGCTGACAAACAATTAATTGCCTGCACCACCGCCATATTATCCGAGTGAAACACCACCCTCTTATTAGCCAGTTCCGACCCCCACAACGCCACCGCCACCACTACCGGAAAGAATTCTAAAAACGCCAAGTTCCTGATCAGCAGGCTCGCTTTCCAGGCCTCCGGCCACTACTCCGCGCACCATTGTCCCGCCAAAAAGGCCCCAAACCCGATGCTACCCGAAGCGCCCGTGAACAACC